GAATTCCATGCTAGAATGCAAAAAAAAAAAAAAACAGAGATATGATGCATCAAAACTAAAAGGAGAAGAGGAAAAACTTGATACTCTAAGCCACAGCAGCTCGAACAGAGGAGGAGAGAAGAGGTTCATGGTGAAAAATAAGGGAAGAGGAGAAATCTCGATGCACGTATAGCTACATGAATGGATAAGGAAGAATAAACTTCAGCAATGTAGAGTAAAGGATGATGAAGAAGAGAACCCCCAGCAACGCTGAACAAAGGAGGAAAGTGATGGATGATTTGATGATTTAGAATAGCAAACACTTGAAGATGAGCCAAGGCAAACCGGCAAGCACCCAAAACCGATAATGAGAACAAAATCCCAATGCTTGCACCCTTTCTGGCGCAAAGAATTCCAGAATATTACAGAGCATTTCCTCCCTTTCCTTCCTCGATCATGATGAAAATATCCAATGGGAATTTAAATGACCAAAAAACCCATGCTCAAAGATATGGAAGAGTGGTGTTTTGGTAAAGTAATAATTATTACAGAATATTAGAACTTTCCTTTTTGCTTTATCTTGATTAAAACATCAATCATTAAAATAATAGTCTAAATACATTCCACTTGCTATCAAATGCTCTTCGTTGCACCATTAGTATAAAAATTTATATTTTATATTTAATATAATAAAAGATCCAATTACCTTGCTTTTATGTTATATATATATATATTATAATAATTATATAATTTAATTTTTTAAGTCATTACAATGTATCTTTGAATTTCTTCAATGCCTAAACTTCAAGAGTCTTTAGAAGACCCTTTAAAGACTCTTGAATATTAGGTGTTAAATAAATTTGAAGATTCATGAAGAATGGTGGAGGAACATTATAGCCAAGTGTAGATGCTTTTTCTCATCCTCCATTCTTTAATATTTTGAAGATGAAAAGGAAGATTGTTGAAGATAGCTATAGAATATAGAAGAGGAAAATATGCACCATGCAACAATGGCAAAACAATACAACCATCATACACAAATAGATCATATATGATAGAAATAGACCTCAAACAACTACCCAAGGACAAAAGTTTCAATTTATGGAGAAAATGGGTTGTAAAATGATAGAAAATATGGGTAATTGGCATTGTTATATGCACTAATTCTCATTATTTAATGTTCTCCAAACTCCTCCCAACTACCATCTTCATATCAATCTAATCTACATGGCAGAGTATTATTTTTCATATCATGCAGAGGATCATAAATTGGGAAATCTCTTGTTTATGGTTTTCTAGTTCTTGTTCAACCTAAAATAGGTTCATTCAAATTCCCAACCCGCTAGTAATTTCGATGGACCAAAAATCTATATTTAGCTAGTGAAAAATCCTTCTCTAAACACATAGAGATAAATTTATAGACAAATGTCATGATATCTCAAAAAGGAGTGTTACTAAATAATTAGAGACAAGTTTTTCAATCTATCTTTGAGTAGAGATAGATTTATTCTATCATTAAAAAAATTGTTGTATCTAATCTTAATGAAAAATCTATTGCAATAAAAATTAAATAAAATGATAGAGATGAAATATTGTAATCTTTAAATCCATCTCTACCAAATAATGCAAATTAAATTGTTGGACCCTACCACCACATCATCACTTTATAGGCATCTATTATCACATTACTGCCAACTCACACTTGCCAAATCACCTCGAGGCTCCATTGCTATTCAGTGCCATGTCACCAACTATTGGGCACTCATGTCATGTTATCGCCATGTCATAGTTTATTTTTACATGTGACATCTCCAAGCTCGAACCTATAACCTCATGCTCCTTGATGTTTTAGTATTTACATTTTTGTTAGTTGGACACAAATTGTTTAGTAGTATATAATAAATCACACACACACACACATACAAAATTTAACCCTATGCACACATGTAAATCAATATATTACTAAAAACACATATTATATGTTATTTTCAATTATTAATATGATAAATATTTAATTTAATACAACTTTTTGTATTTAAAAATATTTTATTATAAAATTATTTTTTATCAAATTTAATTTAATATGGAACAAATTTAAAATTTTAAATCTTATAAATATTTGATATATATTATATTAATAATTTATTCTATTTATAATGCATGAACTATTATTTGATATATATATATATATATGCTATGTTATGTTATATTATGTTATGTTATATACTAATAAAAAAATTATTATTTATATACTCCCAAAGTTATTTTTCTTTTCTCTCCTTCCCATGCTAAAACTAAACATTATTCACACATATATGCATATTATAGTTATGACAAAAAATAGTATCTATTCTAGCTGGAAGAGATGATAGTCTCCGATCTACCAAGACAGTTCGCATTTGGGATAGGATTCCCGATCATTTAGATTATGAACATGCTATTATGAATGCTGCAATGCCTTTGAGGGAAGGTTATTGCTAGTGTCTCTTATAAAAATAAGCTGCTTAACAGTTGAAACCAAGGACTATAAGGGAGAGATTAAGATATTTAATAAGGATTATACTGTTGGTAAGGATGAGATTATACCTATGATTGATTTTTCTGAACGCATTTGTGCACTCTTTATCTAGGCTATGGAAAAAAAAGCCGATAGTGATCAAAGCCACTAGGTAAATTCATCATATATGGTGATTTACTCTCAAAGCTTCATTGAGTATGGATGGTATAGCTATATGGGTCCTTTGAATTGGTAAATAGAAGAGGGTTATTTCCTGGCCACGTTTACAGCTCAGGAGGATTATATGAAAGTTCAAATGAAGGGGCCGTGGATGATCTTTGGCATCTATTTAACAATACAACTATGGTCTATCTCCTTTGATTCGGCAACAACAACTGTGTCCAACATGAGAGTCATTAGAAAATTGTTAGATTAGATTATTAATATGATGCTAAGGCTAGAGAAAGAGGAAGAATGATAGTTCTTATTGATTTAGGGCAACCTCTTATCCCTCAAATTAAAGTAGTGGATGGGAAGTTCTATAGGGTTGTTTTTTAGGGTCTTATGATTTGTTTTGGGTGTGAGAGATAGAGGCATACAAAGCACCAATGCAAAGAACTCGATGACAGATAAGTTGTGCATTGAGATATAAAGATGTAACAGAGCAGGGACAAATCTAGAATTCATCACATGGGGGGCATAATTGAAATTTTGTCTGAATAAGAGGGGTTATAACTGAAGTTTTATCTAAATGTGAGGAACTAACAATGATTTTTACATTAAAAAAAGTTAGAGTATAGGGGTCCACCCTTACTGGCCCCCTAAATTTGTAATTGCAATAGAGGCTCCTAAGGCAATGAAGGTTGAAAAAAAAACAGAACAATCAACCAATGCGAACCAACTAAAAACTATATAATCAAGCTCGACCTTAACTTTTTTTAGGCGAGTTTAAGGCTAGCTTGTCAAGCTTAGCCCAAATTACTAAATCTAAACTACTCCACATGCATCCAATAATCTGAGAAAGAAGAGGACAAATTCTAGTAAGAGCACTATGAATGAATTGAGTAAGCATGTGCAGCCGAATGATAAAGGTAAAGTCATAAAGAGGAGGCTAGTGGGCTAACTAGTAATGAGGTACCCCTCTAATTCTTTTTTTGATAAAAGGTACTCCTCTAATTCTATTAATAAGCAACTTTCATTATTTTCATCAAAACCAAAAACAAATCTCATATTTTATTAACTCTATCTAAAAATTTAATGAGTTTTTAATTTTATTCTTATTAAATATGCATGTTTTAAAAACAAAACACTCTTAACATATAAAAATCTTTCTAACATTTAATAGGAACAAAATGATAAAGATAAACATAGTAATTATTAATATGCATATAAATAGAACTAAAATAAATATTCTCTATATCCTTTAAATAAGACTAGAGAATATTAAACTTAAAAGCCTAAGGTGAAACGTGAAAAATAGGGAACTTGTTGTCTAAGAAAAAGAAGTTGGGCCTTAACAATGAAGTTGGCAGTTCGTATAGCCCAATTACAATCACCCCTAGCGGAATAGAAGAGGACATGACCCAAAAATGTGACGAAGCCATAGTAGCTCAGACCCTTAACAATGATTTAGACATCAAAATGAGACGATTTTTAACTCAGTGGCCTATAAAATTCATGAAGCATGAATTTCTTTAGATAATAACAAGCATACTATGGTGGAAATGTGCACTGAAAGACCTGTGCTTTTAGAAGCCAATAATCTGATCAGAAGCAAACTAATGAAGTATGAAGGGTATTCTTATGCTCTTAGACCTTTAAAGGAGAGTCTATTTAGCGAGCTGTCAAGTTTTCTTCTAGTGTATGAGGTTGAGAACAATCAAACTGTTTGTGGGGATATATACTATTAAAGGTGAAGATATTATTTTCATAGGTGACAATCAATGATGTCTCCATTCAATAGAAGTATAATTTATATGTCGTTATTTAGAAATTTCCCACAAGAATATCAGATCAAAGTATTGAGGATTGAGTGTCTCTAATGCTCAATTGTACTCATAACTGCATCCATTTCCAATATTAACAGCCTTTAGTAATTTAAAATGGACCTATAACATTAGGAAAATGATTGGCTCTAAGGTCTGGACACAGGGGATCCCAACCCCAAACAGCAGACTATCAATAGATTGCTCAATGATGAGAGTAGGATAACACATGCTAGCCAATTGACAATTAAGAACAAGTTCTTTATTATCTCTTCCCCAAGCTTTGAATAGTCGACTTTGAACTAACACAGACAAGGAAAATATAATTGTTTAATTAAAATAAAACACTGTAATAGATATTGACACAACGTGATTTTTAGTAGGTACTTTAAATGTTAAAGTGAAGAAATTTAACCAAGCCCAATGGCCTCATCCATTTTTTTTTTTGTTTTGCTATGTTTTCTACTCTAAAATCTAAATTCCAACAAGACCAAGCTAAATAATAAATGTCCAAACAATCATATGAAGTAACCTAATACCTTTCATTATTGAGTCTCAAATAGTGAGTGTCTTATAATAGCCCTCCAAGCATAGGCTCGAAATCACAATGTTCTGCTTAATAAAAAATTTGATGATATTAAACAAGGAAATTAACTAAAATACATTTACATAGTATCATTACAACTGTAAACCTCGTTCTCCATATAGCTTATTCCAATGCTTCAGCTCACGCAATATTTCTCCATCAGCATCAAAACTTGCAGGAACCTGAATCAAAATAGGTTATTAGGCTTTCATGTAGATGCTAAAGTAAAATAATCAATCCCCATATCATCCATGTAAATATCCATTTATAATAAATATTTTCCATAATGGTACAAGAGAAAGAACAAAAATTATAGGCTAAATCAAGAAAAACAAGTCATTTATGTAAATTGTAAAGTGTTTTAAGTTAACCCTACCTGGTTCTTAGCCAAAATCATGTCTTCCATGTTTATAGGCCTCAAGGTAATTTTTGGCTCCACTTTATCCTCGTTAGCAATTGAAGCAGCTTCTGAGCGTTGTTCTTCAATCTCTTTCTTATTCTTTCCCTAAATTAAATAAAATTTATGCTAGTCAACTAAAAGACAATGGTTATTAAGTCGAGAAGGCACATTGAGATGATGTCACAAGTCAAGGAAATTACATGATCTTCTTGATCCGTTTTGGTACTTGAAGTAGCTTTTGAGCTTTGTTCTCCAGCCTCTTTCTTATTCTTTTCCTAAATTAAGATAAAATTTATGCTAGTCAGCTAAAATATAATGGTTCTTAAATCGAGAAGGCACAGTGAGATGATGTCACAAGTCAAAGAAATTACAGGCTCTTCTTTATCCTCTTTGGTACTTGAAGCAGATTTTGAGCCTTGGCCTTCAGCCTCTTTTTTATTTTTTTCCTTAAATAAGTAAAAAGTTTATGCCAGTCAGCTAAAAGACAGTGATTAAATTGATAAGGAACATTCTAGCCAAAAAAAAAAAATTGAGAGGGAACATTAACATGATGGAACAAGTCAACTTTGTCACGTTTGATTAGTAACATTACCATATTCTTCAATCTCTCCTGCTTTATTAGCTCCCTAACAGGCCGATAAGCAGCAGTAGTGCACAAATTCTATTTTTAAAGAAATTTAGTGTCAAGAGATGGTGACCATAGGTTATAAGTCAAAAAATAGAATCACAATCTTTTACCCAAAAAAAAAAAGAATCACAATTTAAAAAGAAAGGGGGGAAAAACCTTGATATCACTTCCAGTATATCCCTCTGTCATGAGTGCGAGCTTTGTAAAGTCTAAATTTTCAATATTTTCCTTAGCTAGCAGAGTCTTCAAGATAATCTCCCTTGCCCCAACTGATGGAAGACCAACCATGATTCTGCTCAACATTGAAAGTTACAAAAGTATCAAGAAAAAAGTCATCACAATGTGTATTTAAAAATTAAATTATTTGACAATGTTAAGAGAAAAAAAAAATTTCCTAGAGATGCTTTAATTTAGAGAGGTTTGAATAGTTCCTACTCACTAATGCAGAATTGAAACCAAGACTTAATTATCTATGCAAGAAACAAATTGGATATACATAGATAAAAAAATTCATAGAAGTTTTACTTGAAGGGTGGGAAAACTATAGAAAGTAACTAAAGTAATATATGTCCACAAAGGGAGCCACTAGCATGCTGTGTGTAAAAAATACAAAAACTTCACCATTTTGAGACTTTAAGATTTTAAAATGTCTCTTATTTTATGAAGAAAAGCCAATGATCTTAAGGAAAAAAAAACTTGGAAAGTTGGGGTGTTACTAAGAGTATTGGAAAAAGGCACATTAGAGACCTTAGCCCTAAAAATTTAGCTTCAAGAAAACTCATCGTTTTGTTTTCTTAGAGTACTTAACTCCTAATAAAAGTCATGCATGAGTTTTGGACTTGATCTTAGGAACAAAAAATTAAAAAGAATCCAATTTGGATGATAACAACAACTATGAAGAGATTCATACCTTCTCTGAAACCGTCTTATAATTGCATCATCAAGGTCAAATGGCCTGTTAGTTGCAGCAAGAACTAGAATTCGCTCATCTTGTTTTGTTAATAAACCATCCCAATGTGTCATGAATTCATTCTTAATCCTCCTTGTAACCTCATGTTCTAGACATCTTGATCGTTGCCCAAGCAAGCTATCAACCTCATCAATGAAAATAATAGTTGGAGAAACCTTTAAAGCTAGTGAAAATAAAGCTCGGACATTCTTCTCAGCTTCTCCAAACCACATTGATGTTATTGTAGACATTGATACATTGATGAAACTTGCTCCTGCTTCATTTGCAATTGCCTTTGCAAGCATTGTTTTTCCAGTACCTGGAGGTCCAAACAACAATATACCTTGGCATGGCTTAAGAAGTCCACCTTTGAAGAGGTCTGGTCTTCTAAGGGGAAGCATGATAAGCTCTTGGAGTGATTCCTTAATTTCATCTAATGCACCAATATCTGAGAATGTAACTCCTATCTCTTTTGCAGGTATAAGCTCTGATCTTATGTTCTCTTCATACTCATTATCCGAACAAACATCCTGGCCAACACAAAATGAAGTTGAGGTAATACTCTCTTTCTAGTAAAAAATATATGCATTTTCTCCTAACCAATCTTGGCTCAAAATATATGAAATTTAGTATTTGTAAATTTTTCCCCTATTTCAACCCTTGTATTTATTAACCTAGACTCTCGTATTTGTAAATTTATGACTTCTCACTCATCATAAATTGAAACAAAGGGTATAAAAGAAAAAGAAGGTAATATATACTTTAATTTCATGAGAATAAGGATTTTATTGGTATGAGAATTATTATACAAGATGTTCATATTTTGGACCAGAAGGAATATAAGACAATGAAATAGCATGAGGAAGTCAAAGTATAAACATTAGTTAAACACTTTTTCTTGGCTTGTTGCATTCTGAACAAACAAAGCCCCATTGTATTTAGGGAAAATTTGGGAGGAAAGACCAAGCATTGAAGGTTGTTGAAGGTGCATTGCTGATCTACAGCCAATCTTCAAGAGTCATCAAATGCACATCCTTGAACATCTCTTGAAATTTGATTACAGATTTTAGAATCTTAAAAGAACCTTCAAAACTACTTTTACTCATTTGATCATTATCCACAATTTTTCCTTGTGTTGATTGATAATGAAAGTGAATGTAAACATACTTCCTTTCTATCAGCCTCTTGCTTTTTAGTACCCTTGACACTTCCACTTTTGCAGAATACATCCAAACCGTGGCATAAACTGTGAATTCCAAAGATCATCAGTGATAGAAAAATTTTCTGTAAACAAATATTGAAAACAATTGGACCAAATTCTTACCTTTCATAGGATATTACAAGCTTTCCGTTCACATATTCTGGATCCTTGGTATTCATCAAGTAGTGAGATATTGCAGATACAACGATCTCTTCAATATGTTTGCTTAGTATCTCAGTTTCCTTATAGCTGATTAAATTCAAGTCTTTACATTCAACATCATTTTTTGCCAATACTTTAGCAATGTGATTTTGGTTATCTTGAGACTGAATTGTTTTCTTGTTTTCCACTAGTTGAGTTTTCAAATTTTGAAGGTTATTCTTATCTTTTGGATATTTGATCCTAATCTTGTAAGGGAATAATGCAGCGAGCCTTTTATCATCTTCAGAAATGTAATGTTGTAAACACTCATATTGTATTCCATTGCCAACATCAATGACTTGGGAACCAAGTATCAAAATTGGCCCTGAAAGTTTCTTTATAGTTTCACGAAACAAATTATATAATTGTTCTGATTGGAGGAACATATGAACATTCTTGATGTACAATATGATGGAACTTTTTTCTGAGACAGAAACCAGGACCTACAAGAATTAATGATGTTAATCTTTCTTGTCATATACGGTTTACGGAAAGCCTTGCCAATTATTGTAATTCCCAAATAAAGAACAAATTAGAGTTGGATAAAGAAGCCAAGATGACATCACCTTATAAAGCAACTTGATGAAGAGATTTTCATCAATGCACATGTTGCTTTTGTTCTCAAAGGGAGCTGACAATGGAAATTCAAGGCAATGAGCAAATCACAAATTTGAATTTTATGCATATTCAAATTCAAATACTACATGACTACTAAATGCTCTATCAATCATACATAGTTCAGGAAAAATTAATTTTCAGATGTTTTTCTCAATTTTGAGTTAGGTCTTTATAATTCATTTTGTTTTAATTCAATTCTTATAGTTTAATTTGTTAGATTTGTTAATCCCTACAAGTTAAAATCTTTGAATTTTTCCTTTTAAAAAATGGAATTAAAAGCTTATATTTTTATTGAAAAATTATATAACTTTAGAACTAATTAAGTAATTTTTTTTGTCTCAAAATTTATAAAATATAATTATGTTAAATTTTCTAAATAATTTTTGACATATAAAATTTTCATAAAAAATTTAATAAAAATGTTAACGTTATATTAAATCATTTTTTTGGCCAAATGTATTAAATCAAAATTTCTATAAAATTTAAAAGTATTTCTATTTTGAATAATTCACTCGTAATTTTAACATTCAGGACTAACATATCTAATAATTCAAATTATAAAGATTTGACTAAAACAAAATAGAATACACGAAATAAATTTAAAATTGAGAAAAATCATAAAGACCTGAATTAATTATAGTTAAATAAGTCTTATTAAAAATGTTGAAATTGCATTCATTCAATATATGTAAAATGGAATTCAATTACCTTCTGTTTTGCTAGTTAAAAAGAAACCAAACAAACTGTGCAATCTCTGGAAGCCACATCAGACAAGGACCTTTTAAAAGACTGTAAATAAAGCAAACCAGTTAAGGAAAATCACCAAAGAAACAAACAAATACATGGGAAATGCGAGCAGAAAACTTACTGGTTCTTTTCTTTTTCTTGCACATCCATATTTTCTCTTTATCTATAAATATAATGAAATATAGGTCAGGCACAAATATTTGCTTATTTAGCTTTAAACAAATGAAATTGAAATGTGAAAGTAATTTATCACCTTCAAGGTGAAGTCAAAAATATCTAGCAGCAGCAACTTTGATTGGAAGTGATGGGCTAAAGCCTTGGCAATTGTTTGCATGTAAAGTTCTTCAACATTTGTGAAGAAAGTTAATTTGAGTCTAACATGCATGAAAACCCCAAACAACCTAGTCCTTATTAATTACAAGACATCTATACGCTATAAACATCTCATCAAAACAAGGAAAGATGGTTAAATAATGAGTTAAGGTGAAAAAGTACCTTGTAATTTTTTTTTCTCCATAAACTTCAGGTATCCTTAAATAAAAAATAATATGTGGGTGCCATTGACTTTATAAAAGGGGCCAACCTTCTTCAATCCATTAAAATAATGATAGAACTTACCGGATTGGCGAAGGATAGCTCCCTTTATAAATTTAATATGTACTCATCCATCATTGTTAATTTAAGGATGTCATAAGTTCTTGGAGGAAATATTTTTGAGTATTTTTACATCTTAACCCTTATATCATTAACTTTGTTTGAAAATGAAAATATTTGCCACTTTGCCCATTTTTGAAACCATGCATTGTTATCATAAATTAGTAAGGTAGAGGAATGGGAAACTGAGTATGAAGGAAAAACAATAGAGGAACACTTCATTGTGGGAGCCAAAGACAAATTAAATTAGACATTAAATAACAAACATATTGACTTATAATAAGGACTATATATATATATATTTTTTTTTCTTTTTAGAAGGTACCTTATGATAAGAACCAAATAAAATACCTTCAGGTCCAGAAAGTATAATTTCCCTACTTGCTGGTGGAAGGTTTTGGATGTGTCTAGAGAAATGAAGTTGTTTTAGATGAACAAATGCAGCATTCATCAATAACTCCCGCGTTGTTTTACTGTCAAAATAGTGGAATAAGAATTATGTTATCAAGTTGCTCTTTTTGGCTCATGTTATAAGTGTGATGATATATAATAACTCCTATTTACATATGATTTGAAAGCAGATCAAGAATCTAGCCATTAATCTAGTCAACTGTATCAAATTCCTCTAGAGGAGAAAACAACACCATATCCATGTTAGTATTAGTATAAATAGAATTAACAACTACAATATCTGTGATAAAACAATGAGGTTAAAGTACAAAAATATCCATAATTTTTTTTAATGAGCTTTTGGTATCTTTAAATAAACAACTATGTATGGGTATCAATTAATTTTATAAAAGAGATTGACATTTTTCAATTTGTTAAAATAGCTTAACATTGACTGTTTAGTGATAATAAGGATCAAACTTAACAAATTGAAGAAGGTTAGTCTCTTTTATAAAGTTAACAAGTTCTCATATATCATTGTTGATTTAAGAATACTAGAAAGTTTTAAAGAAATTTTTTTGACAGTTCTGTACATTACCCAAAGCCATATTATATATTTGAAAATAATAAATACCATTGCTTTCAAAAAAATCTCCATGGGGCATGTACTTTTATCATAACATTATTTCACATATATCATGAATTGAAAAGTGACAAATTAATAAAATTAATATCACCTTAAGTAATAAGGAAAGTCTTGAAAAGTTTCCTTGCATTCCTGGCCGTCAATCACATTTCTGAGAAGCTCTTGCTCAACCTGCTCGTTCCAAAGCTCTTCACTTGAGCTAACATTCCATTCAAGCCTTGAACTTAATCCAAGCCCTGCTCCTACACCAAGCCCTATGCTCAATGCTGACAGCAAAACTTGGCTGTGCTCCATATTTTCCCTGCTCCTCTTAAAACTGTTTTTGGAGAAGAAAAACAAACTTGGCTAGAAATGAATTTGGGTTCCCATATATATAAAGACAGACACGCGCCTTTATGTTAGTTGTCTGAAATGAATTTGAAAATAGAAGCATCTTTTCTTTTGTTTTCTTCTTGTGCAAGTTTCATTATAATTCCTACATGTGTTGGAAAAATTAATGGAGAATTGCTGTTTTCCCCGGGGTGGGGGGATCATTCCATATTCAACGGCTCACTCAAATATTCGTGATTGTTGATTTATTTATTTATTTATTCCATTGCTCGGTATCCTAAAATTGAGTAATACCACATCTCGCCTAGACTAATATGAACTTCGGCTGTATGCAATGGCAGAGCTAGAATCCAGAGTCAAGGAGTTGTGTGACAAGTCAATTTAAAAATTAAAAATTAAAAAATATTATAATATTTTAAAAAATAATTACATTAGACAAAAAAATATAATAACATAAATAAAATTATGCATATTTTATTTGGAAAAAAAATATACTAAGAATTTATTTGGGCAAAAAGATGTGTTCAAAAAGTTGATATAGAGTTTAATTGAATAAAAAGGAAAAAGGAAAGAAAACTATTGCCTAAGAGGATGACTTTAATTTGTTGTACTTAAATTTTATTACAAAACAAACAGCTCTTGATCCATTTTTTTAATAATATATCTAATAGGTATAATTTTTTTATTTAAATTCATGGAATATAAGTTAAAATATCATTTATTTAAAAAAATTTTGAATCCGAATATTTTTTATTAAGCCTAAAAGGTTCAAAATTTTAAAACCAAGAGTGTAAGATTGTAATTTTATATGCTATTTATGTAATTTTCTCCATGTGAGGGGTGTATTTGCCTCCCATCACATGTATGTAGCTCCGCCATTAGCTGTGTGAGACTGTTATTACCAACTATTAGTTCAAGGGTATCTTGAGAAGGCTTTTGACATATTTGTTTAACTTAATTATAAATTTTGAAATTTGAACTCAAAACTATAAGATCAACCGAACTTCTTCAGCCTGTTTGAATAAAACACCACTGAAGTTTATCTATTTATTTATTTTTTTAACACGACTTGAAAGGGAAAAAAAAAATACATCGCGTACAGCTATAATGGAATTAAAGCTGGTGCTTGTGGAACTTAAAACAACAAATTTACAGAAGGTGACAAACAATACGCTATTTTAATCAAGAACGTCCATTCTCCGCCAATTGCAATGATAGTGACCGGACTATTTATTAACCTCCTGAGATAGATTATTCTTTTTCTTTTTCGTTTTTTAGTTTATAGAAAATTAAACTTTTTTTGGGTGGGGCCTTAGCCGAAAAGAAGAAGATAAAAATTAAACGGACTTGGAAAATTAAACATTTAGTGATTTAGTCCTAATATAGTTTCGCAACACATTGAATTATCGATTTTGCTAAGGGTTTATTTAATTATTTAACTTTGTATATTTATATTGAAATTGTGATGTCCTCTATTTTTTTCGTAAATATTCATGTAATTCAATTGAAAATAATATTTTTTATTTAAATTTTCATACTAAAGAATCAAAGTTTTAAAAACTATTACAATATTTTTTTAACCTCTGAATTTTAACTACTTCGTCTCATTTTTTTAAGATTTTATATTTTTAAATAATAATAAGAATCAAGAATTGAAAAAATAAAATTTTTTTAAGGAACATAAAAATAAGATACTAGTTTTTATGTCTTTTGATATCACCACTCATACTTTGGAGAATTATGGTTTGATGCCTTCAATTAAAAAAAAACTTTGAGAATCATAAAAATAAGTTAATTTCTATATATTTATAAAAAAATTTAACTTAATTTTGAATATAATAAAGATATTTCTTAAAAAGTTTTACCAAAACTTAATTGGAATCGAGGCATGTCACTCACAACATAAAAGGGATAACAGAATGAATAAACCACTTGTAATTGTTTTCAAAGTTGAGGCATAAAAGAAAAAGAAGAATATATCATTTAAACAAAGATAAGTTTGGCACTATATATGGTGAAAGCTAGAAGATGGAGCTGAGAGATCAATTCCTTCTTTTCCTATTCACCATTCCTTTAATTTCTTAATTCCTTTCTTTGCTCCCTACTTTAAAAAAAGAAAAAAATGTTCCTACTTATTATCATAGCATTGAGTGGAGAATAACTACGTGGATACATTAACTGCCTCTAAATACGTTTTTTTTCATAAAAAAAAAAGTCAAGAATGACGTCATCATCTATATTCTTGAGTCGTAAGCATTAGATAGGAAAATTTGTCTTAAAACACATGCATAGCCTTTACATAATATTCTATTTTGTATAACTACTTTCCACCTATCCTTAACAAAAGATGTCTTTTAATTTCTTGTAAAATAATGGGAATAGAGAAATTGAGGTGATAGAGTAATAGAAACAATATAATAGAAACAATTTCTTATCTTATAGAATATCTAATTACAAATGGTATGCCTTATAGGCATATATAGCCTTACATATCAATAACAAATGGTGGATAATAAGGACCGTGAACGTGAGTGGAAAATAAATGTCATGAATCGTATAATAGTGAGATTTATTTGAAAAAAGATGAAGGGCTTGAGGGTAGATAATGGCCAACTATAAACTTTTAATATTCAAAACACTCTTTCTTAGATATCTATTATTTACATGCCTCGTTAAAAAATTTCAACTAGCAAAGTATAGGTTCTGAACTGTTCCTGCAAATTATTCAGGATTTTAAAAAAGCTTTTATGCTGGCTCGTAGTAGTGGTATTAATGATCAAAGGACTGCACGTAAGTTGGGCTTTGACAGTAGGGAGATTGTGGACGCTGCTGGCTTTGGAGGTGAAATTTGGTGCCTTTGGAATGCTAGTAATTTAAAAGTCCGCGTCAACGAATGCCACTTTCAATTCATTCATCTAAGAGTTGAAAATCTTCAACATGAAGTTTGGTGGATGACGTTGGTCTATGCAAGCCCTAATGCCAATAATCGATGGGTTCTATGGAGAGATTTAAGTGGCTTAAAGAATGAGATTGATGGGAATTGGGGTGTTGCAGGTGATTTTAATGCAAACACTTTTGTTAAATGAAAGAAATACGGTAGCTCTTAAAGGTACAGGGATAGATAAGGTCTTTGAATGAAGAGTGGGTTTGTGACAATCAAATGAATGACGTTGGTTTTGTGGGTCCCAAATTCACGTGGCATAGAGGAGAGACTGAAAGCATAATCGACAGGGTATTGGCAAATATAGAGTGGATTGAGAATTTTTCATTCAGCTTAATAGACCGTTTAGATTTGTCGCTGCACGGGTTTTGCATGAGAAATTTGAGATATTGGTGAGAGAGAATTGGAAGACGTCGATCTCATGGACAGAACAAACTGAACAATTTTGCAGTATCCTATTCAAGATGGAACAAGGAGGTCTTTGGGCACAATAGTACTCGCAAAAAGAAAATTCTTAAACGTCTTGAAGGAATCTCGAGGGTCTATCCATCAAAGGGGAAATAACCATATTTCAAAAGCTCCAAGCCGATCTGTGGACTGAAGTAGAGGAAATTATGTTGCAAGAGAATCTTATCTGTGCACAAAAAGCTAAGGGTAATTGGGCCCTTTTTGGAGATAAAAACACTCGTTATTTTCATAATGTGGCGAGTGGAAGAAGAAAGTTTAATAGAATTGGGGCCATTCGCAAGGAGGATAGTGATGCAGATTGGGTTTAATTTTTTGATAGAGATGAAATTAAAGCTTTAGCCACGGGGTATTTCTCTAATATGTTTTCTAAAGAGATTGCCTCTAGAGCCAAGCTTAATTCTCGAATCAATTTTCCTTTGGTTGACAAGGTCACTCTTACTCATTTTAGCCGAGACGTGGATGATGATGAACTCGGATGCAGTCAAGAGTATGGGTGCATTGAAATCTCCAGGACCAGATGGGTTTGGTACTCTCTTTTATCAAAGTCAACGGGAGCATGCAGAAGGTATTGTGATCTCTTATGTGAAACGTCTGTTCCAGAATCCACAGGATATACATACGATAAATAATGCTTTCATCCTACTTATTCCTAAAAAGAATAAAGCAAAGACCCTTTGTGACTTATGTCCTATTAGTTTGTATAATGTCATCTATAAAACTATCATAAAGATGTGTTTGGTTCAAGGGGAGGTGAGGAGAGGGTTTTCAGTTACTTTGTTTAGTTTTGTTAGAGGGGAAGGGAGGGGAGGGGATAATTAAGTTACCATTATACCCTTATGCAAAAGATTTTAATTTTTTTTAGCTTTTTATCATACAAATTGATTTTACATCTAAACTCAAATTGTATAATTTTTTTAAAAGCACCCTAATCTTATAATTTTTTTAACTTATTTTTACTTCTTTTCCCCAAATAATTGACACTTTCATTGATAATTATGTAAAAAAATTAACATCTTGGGTAAAAAAATTTATAAAAAAGAATTATATGTGTTGGCCATTAATAATAAATTCCTTCTCCTCTATCAAAGAATCACACATTAAAAATTTAATTCTTTGATAAAAAAAATCATCCTAATATCCATTAAAATACCGGAAGGACACAAATAAGCACCTCTCCTTAGGACCGTGTCCCAGATATAGGGTATCCTATAAGCCATTCCCCACTTTGAACATCTACTTGAAAACCTGGAAAACTAGGATGCACAATTTGTTAGCATTATTATGCGAGACTGGAAAAAGAAGTTGTCTCCATTTTCAATCAGCAAAATAATTTTCAGAAAAAGAGGCTGCCTACTAAGGAAATTGAAATACCAATATTAATATTAGTTTTGTTACATGAATACTAAGATCAATAGTTGTCATCATTCTTGGCTCAAGAGCTACATGTTGAGTATCTAACAAAATATTCAAAAGTCATTAATAATGCTCAAGAATCATATTTTGAGCATCTAGCTAACAAAATATACAAAAATTATCAATAAAAATCATCATTTAATTAGAACTGTAGAACAT